AAGATTGTGAATTCGAACAATTATATCTATAGAATACACATATTATTAATATCAAAAAAATTATAAATAAATATTATTTTATGATTACTTCGTACTACTAAAAAGAATATAATTTGTGTCTATATCATCGTAATTTGGTGCTACGCCTTTTTATAGTAGTGTGTAGTTGCTTCATTAATCAATTTAGGAATATTTGTTTAAAAATTATAATGATTTACTTGTTATAGGATTTTTTTAAAAAAAATATATAAATTTAGGGTTATAAGTCGAATGACAAGAAAAATCAAATAAAATAATTACTTTTTAAAAATTCTGATAAGTTAAGATTAAAAAAATGATTTTAAATTAGAAAACAAGATTTAATTTTTCTAACATTAAAATTAAAAGAAATTTTAAAAATAATTAGACTCAAATTTTTGGTAGGTCATGAGACCCTTCGCACTTTACACAAAGATTGATCCTTAAATATCATTCCTTTCTTTGAATGGAGGTGAGTGGATTTAGGTAATTTAGATATTAAATCAAAAAAAATTAACCATAAAAATTTAGAGTAAAGTAAACAAATGATATTGTAACATCCAAAAACCGGACTAGTGACTAAAATGTAAATTTTGAAAACTTTGTGCTTAATTTTGAAACAAGTTAAAAGTTTAAGGATTTAATTGGGAATATTTTGTGAGGGATTGTTTAGTAAATATTGAATGAAGTAAGGGGTAAACTAGTCTTTTCAAAGGAAGGATTTTTTTCTCCCCTTTATATAGGATAGTAAACACGTGGAGATGAGAAGAAATGAGAGAAAACTCTGGAGACTTGGTTGGCTTTCTTCTTCTTCTCATTCTCTTCCCGTGACTCCATTGGTAAGGTAAGATGGTCTCAAGTGAATGTTTCCTTTCGTTTTTTAAGTTGGTTTTAATTCTTGAGTTGATAAGAAAGCTTAAGTGAAGCTTAAGGAGGCTTAAAACTCAAAGATGAATAAGTTATACAAGATTTAAGGTAAAGAGTTTTTAAGTGAATTATTGAAAGAGAGTTAGTAAGTGAAGTTTGAGGTCATTTTTGACTTGTCAAGAGTCTAATTAATAACTTAGAAGTAATAAAAGTGAATTAAGAACATGTTGAAAATTTAGTAAGATTCTTGGTTTCAAGAATTATAATGAGATATTGAAGACGATGGTGTGTTATATGAATATAAGATGTTATGAGTAAGTATAGTTGAAGTTAAGGGTATGAAAGGAGTTCAAAATGAGAGGTTTAAGTAAGCTTTGGTAAAATTTCGGGTTAAAGAAGTGTGTTCTGGGCATGGGTATCGATATTGTTCATCAGTACCAATGCTTCAAAGCAAAATGAGTATAAATTGAGTTTGGGTTATCGATACTGAAGGAACAATATCGATACCATATGATACAATCAGATGAAATCTTTAAGAAGTATAGATACCTAAAGGGTGGTATCGGTACTGGTTAAAGGGGTATCGATACCAAGTGTCTAGTATCGATACCATTATCTAGTTATTAAGCCAGAATGTCAAAATGGTATCGGTACCTAAGGGGGGTATTGATACCATAAGAGGGCAGTATCGGTACTATAGTAAGAGTACCGAAACTATTAAGCTTAAAATGCTAAATTCAGTGGTTCTTTCAACATACGTTATATTGATTGGGTAGAAGAGATTCAAACTCCGATATTAATATAAGTCATATAATTGTGTAGATATGGATCGAAAGTGAGTATCTAATGAATCAACGAGATAAATCGAGCAAAAAGGAGATAAGTGCATGACTTAGACTAGTGAGGCTAAGGTGAGTGTTTATTACTATGGTATATGATTAGATGGAAATTAGACTTGCGATAAGTTTGTTTCCTACATTTTGAAATATATGATTGCATGACTAGAATAATGATTAAGATTGGTATTGCGTGAATATGACTTGTATACAATATATGTTATGTGAACATAAGAGAACAAAACATAAACTATATGATATGAGATACGTGAAGATGTGTATATATGATATATGTTATAAGATAAGACATATGTGGTTACATGAGACATGATATGAAATATATGAGAGAAGGTATATGTGATGATCTAAGTGAACCTATGAAATATTATATGACTATGTGATTATGTGAAAAAGAATACAAGTATATGTGATAAGCTATGTGATATGTGAATGTGAATCATATGAAAATGTTCTATGTGTAAGTGAACCACATGTCTATATGAATATGTGAAATGACATAAACTATAATGGCCATATTATGTGTTATGAGAGTTAGGGTATAGTTGTCATGCCAAGAGTCGAGGGTTCTATGTGGTCCTTCGGGATATATATGTAATCCTTTGGAATATATGCGATTCTTCGGGACACATATTTGGTCCATTGGAATATATATGTGATCCTTAAGAAGTGGTCCTTCGAGACGTATAAGTGGTCCTTCGGGACATATATATGGTCTTTTGGGACAAATTCTATATGCCCCTAGTGGGAATTTATACGAGTTGTGGTGACAACATATGTGCACAACCTCAATGTACTCATATATCTTTAGTTCTCAGAAGTATACATGGGCTAATAATGATATAACAACAAATACATTGTATGTGATGTATATGCTTTGTGATATGAAATGTATTGTTTGGTTAAATGAGTCATATGATAGTTAAGAATGTTAAGTACAAGAATATATGACTAAAAGATAGGAACAAATTATAATATAGATAATAAAATGAGGTTAGTGATGATAATGACAAAAAAATGTATATGCATACATTTGACTATATGTAATGTTATATTGTTTTGTGTGATATCATTTTATGAAATGTTCATGCATGGTTAATTAGTTAGAGTTTCCATTATAAGTTTAAATGTCTCAGTAAGTCATCGAGTTAGCATGTGAATGTTTCACACGTAGGTTCCGAGAAGATTAAGAAGCAGCGAGGGTTAAGACAGGTAAGCTTCTCCTTTTCAAAGACCATATCAGAAAAGTAATGGTTTATGTGTATTTGATTTTAATGAGTACAATTGACATGTAATTAAATATTTTAATGAGTACAATTGACATGTAATTAAATATTTAGTTGAACATGCTCTGATCGGTTTTGTAAAACTATTTGATTGTATTTAATATAAGTTATTCAGTTTTCAATACAAATTTGAATTTTTAACTATTTTGTAAAAGTAAATTGTTTGGAAAGTCAATGTGACTTCTTAGACTCGTATTCGGGTCGGGTACGGGTTGGGGTGTTACAGGTACTATGAGTATAAGATATTGCTTTATTAAGTCTTCCGATTATTAAAAATTACAAAATGATCCATCGACTATAGGGACTTACTTTGTTGAGTCCATCAACTATTAAAAGTTACAAAATGATCACCCGATTATTCATTATGTTCCAAATTCACCATTTTCTGTTAAAAAATTAACGGTAATCTAAGCTAAATGTTAACCTAGTAACCGAGATATGATAAAATATGATATCATAATCTCAAATGACTATCATATCTCAGTCAACATGTTAATGTCCAACTCAAACGACCATTAATTTTTTAACGAAAAAGGAAGAGTTTGGAACATAATGAATAGTTGAGTGATCATTTTGTAGTTTTTAATAATCGAGGGACTTAACATAGTAATTCTCTATAGTCTGATGACAATTTTGCAACTTTTAATAGTTAGGGACTCAACAAAGTAATATCTTATAATTGGAAGATCAATTGTGTACTTTACTCTTAAAATTGTACTCGTATTAATGTGATTATCAAACATAAAATCACAGATAAATCGAGAAAAGACAGGTGGGGACAGTCGCCCCCTCAAAATTTAAAATTACCATATATTTTAGATTTTTCTATGTATTTTCTATTAGAAATCATTTTTCGTCCCTCCAAAATTTTACAAGTTCGTTCCCTCTTAAAATTTTAGAAGTTTACCTCTAGCATAAAATTCTAAATCCGTCCCTACATAAAATATTAGTTTATGGGAAAATCTAGAATACATTCATGATTTTGTTTATTGTTATTTTAATATATTTTTTGTTTATTGTTTTGACCAAACCAAGACTTCCTCAATGAAAAAAATTGTATATGTCACTAAGCTATTCTCTTGTTCATAAAAAAAAATCTATAAATTCTAAATCTAATCATGATCCTATCTAGAAGAGAAAAGATTGAAATGTCCCTTTACGAGAAGTAATAAGAATACTCCTAGTGGGTGTAGAATCAATGACCTAATAAAATATAAGGATTGAAATAAAAAAATGCTTATAATTTATGAGATTTAGTTAATGTGACTAACTTGTTCATTATCAAAAGGTTGAAAGTCTTTGAATATATAATAACTTGTATTCACCACAGACTTTATAAGAAAAATATTATTCATTCTTTTGTTAAGGTTATTTGTAGTGATATTAAAAAAATGATATAATTTATGGGATTTAGTTAAGGAAATTGGAGAAAAAGTAATAAATAAACGAGAATTTGATGAAAAAAAGAATGAGAAATTTAGAGTTTGATTTAAATATTTAAAATGGTGAGCGATAGATTTTAGATTAAATTAATAGAATATATAAGTTTTATGTTTAAAATTATTATACTTGATCATATTATCATTTTTATTAACTTTTTAATATTCAATGTCTAAAATAAAAAAAAAATATGACGTTAAATATAATTGAATAAAAAATAGAATTACGAGAATAAATAAAAAATATCAAAGAAGTAGGTTATCTCATTGTTTTTTTATAAGAATAATTGTAATATGGATTTTAAGATAAAATAAAAATAATTATAAAATATATTTGTTTATATTTTTCATAATTATTAAATACACACGTGTTGAAGTCGTTTAATTAATTTTTATTTGCTATTATTTAGCAAGGAACTAAAAACTATAATGATGTTTATAAAATAATTCATGAGATACAAGGCATTCCAAGAATTAGATATTTTTTAGCTAAAAGAATATTTGTTCCATGGCGTCCTCGTCACAAAAAGTTCATCATTCCAATCCAAGGAATCAAATAATAAGTAAATAATAAAAACTTTTGGTTGGATTATATAAGGAAGCCATGTTCATCTCCCATCTCCATCTTCCTTGACGCCCTCTCCCTCCACCCTTAACCACCACCTTCTTCCTTCTCCACTTTTTCACACTCTTCAGCTCTTTTAACTCCCACCGCCACGGCGCCACCGTGCAGCTGCCCAATTCACTATCATCCCCAAAACAAAACCCGCATTTTCATTCATGAAAGAAGGCTGTCTTAATACCAAACTGAGCCTAAACCAACAACCAGCAGCTGGTAGCCAACAGATGTGCAGAACCCTAGAAGGAACCACCACCGTTGACCACCACACCGTCGTGTCGTCTACGGTGGTGGTCCCGGCCAACTCCTCTGAAGACCTTAACTTGATTCCTCCGTTGAACTTTGCTATGGTTGACAATGGCATCTTCAGGTCGGGTTTCCCCGATTCTGCCAACTTCTCTTTTCTTCAAACGCTTAACCTCAGCTCCATCATGTAAGACCAAAGTTTCTTCCTTTATTACATGCAAATTAATTTCTTTGTACTTTGAGTTAAAAGGGTATCCTTTGTTTCTTCTTCCTTAATGTTAGATATCTGTGTCCTGAGCCATACCCAGAAGCCAACACTGAGTTTTTAAAGTCCAATGGGATCAAGCTTTTTCAGTTTGGAATTGAGAGTTACAAGGTAAATTTTTTCTTTTTTTTTCTTACAGCCGAGGTTGAAAGGGAATGGACTTTAAGTGATTGGATTTCAAGCAAATCAACTTAGATTCTTAAAATCCGATTTGCAACCTAAGCTTTTATTTCCAGTTGAGACCAAATGTTGTGCATACACTTTGATGATGATCTTTGACCAAATAATTTTCAAATATAGTTATTTAGGAGATGGTATACGTTAAAAACCTACAATCTATCATCCTTTCATTAACAAGAAAAGGGAATTTTGGCTCTGTATGTGCTTGGAGTGTAATAAACAGTAAAAGGGCTCAAATGACAAGGGGGTCAATTTGATCTTCACTATGTTAAGTATTACTTCAATCATCAACTACGATCTCAGGCCGAAAATTATATTAAACCAAAAGTTCGCCTAAGTTTTCTTTTTTGTTCAACAAGTTTGCCTAATTGCTGCACTTTGTTCATTATTTTATGCATATGAATGCTTGGGGCTTTGATTTGTATGGTTAGGCTTATTTAATTTGATGCAAATGGTGTTTATCATTTTAGGCCGATGTTCTATTACACTCAAAGTATGCATTTGAACTAAGTCATCCCGACTCTTTGGTTTTCCTAATTTGGTATTTACAGTTAATCATGAGAAATGGAAACAGGAGTTGTCAAATGTTTTGTTGTGAATTCTCTCTCCTTTTGACTTGTAATTCCTTGAAAATTAGATGTGGTATTGGGAAGAAATTTTTCATTTTTCTTCATTTCCTAAGGTTTTAGTAGTTTATGACTATGTAGAAAACATCTGATGCTTTTCCATTAAAATTCAAAATCAAATAATATTTTTAGCTGTACATATCGGCCATAGAGATGAACCTTTTTTTCCCATTATATTTTGCAAATCTTGCTTGAGACCAAAGCAAAACATTAATTTGAAACTGTTAGGTTCTTTTCTTGCATGCAACATCTATTCTGCATGTATTTTGGTATTGGGATATGTATATGTGTTTGAAATAGAAATACAGTTATAATTAGAACTTATATATTTGGTGATGACATATGGCTATAGTTATTTGTAAAGAAATTGAATTCTTAGGTCAGGTTTGCCTAAATGAACCATAAAAGGATACGGTTTGAGTCATTTCAAATTCTAGCCTCATTGATAAAGTGAACCTCTAAGAAATAATAAAGCCTAATGCTTATCGTTCCGCTTTATGTGAACTTCAGTCTTTGAGGAAAGCAATCATGAAGTTGTAATTGTGACTTGATCACGCTTTTGGCGTTGGTGATTTGTTTGAGCATGCGGCAGTACCCGTAGCTTGTGTGAATTTCCTTTTCAATTTTTTCTTTCCTTCTCTAATTTCGTTTGCTAAGTTGCAAGTAAATCCAAGTAATGATAATACTCCTTGTGCTTTGATATCTGTAAGTTCTTAAATCACTGTTTTCCTCTGACATTTTATCGATGTCACTCCAACTTTTCTTTTAGTTTAAAGTTTTCCGAACTTATTAAGCCTCGCCATTTGATTTACATTTACTTTATAGCTAATCGACGAAATATAGTTGGCTGTCAATATGTTCTTGTCTCCATCTCCTATTGAATTCTTTGTTAAACTTGTTTAGCTGCTTAGTTTACTTAATTCATTTCTCCATCTCTGTAGTTCCTCTCATGTCAATGAATCTCCATAGTATCCGAGAATTGAACTAAAAGTTTTACCCATGTTAATCCTAAAATAAAATAAGATAATTACTCCGGAAAGGTGGTAATTGGTAAAATGATCTGCTGCTGCATGAGCTTTACATAATTTTTCGCAGAAAAGTATGTCGGTATCATCTCATCACATCACATGTATTCCAGTGATTGCTGAAACTTCAATGGAGCTGACTCACTCATAGAGGGTTAAATAAAGTGAAATGCGATGCAGGTTGCATTGTAATGTGAGTATTTAAAGCAACCGAGACGTCCGATCTGCATGTCGTATGGCTTCTAGCTGTGGGTTTATTACGTATATGTACATGTATGTATTTCTTTGAGCTTTTGAATTAACTAGTAGCAGTGAAATTATGTTACTGCAGGTCTTCATTTTTCTTGAAATATCTGTTCCCGACACCTATGTTCGACCCTTGTTTGGACATGGTTACAGGGATGTCCAAATACATGGAAAAACTTAGAAAAAGTTGAACATACCTATGTCAGGGAAAATATTTGTTATCTGAAACTCACGCTCGAGTTCCGGTGACATAGCCATGGTACACACACACACACATCAGGCAACATAGCTGAATATGGGATCATTGGTAGGACTTGAAAATGGGGATGCCATTTATATTCTATCCACCACCGGTTAAATATCGAAAGGTCTCAGTTCTTACATAGTGCAGACACTATGCATCGAAAAAAGGTACTCTCGAATGATGTATACTATATCAGAAATGAACTAATATACACAGTTCATCCAGGAACCATTTGTAGATATCCCAGAGGACACAATCCGCGAAGCTCTAAGAATTGTCCTTGGTACTGTTACACACTTCATCTATAGCCATTTTAAACGTGGTTCATTGGTTTCAAGGCACTGATTTTACCCTCTGCAATGCAGATGTTAGGAATCACCCAGTTTTAATTCACTGTAACCGAGGGAAGGTATGTGCACGTTGGGGGGGGGGTTTCTCCTGATTTTTCGTACCCGTGTTCAACGAGTCAGTACCCTTGAGAGTTACAATCTTTTGCTTCATTTTACAGCACCGAACTGGCTGTCTGGTAGGATGCTTGAGGAAACTGCAAAGATGGTGTTTGTCATCCGTCTTTGACGAGTACCAGAGGTTTGCTGCAGCGAAAGCTAGAGTCTCGGATCAGAGGTTTATGAAGTTGTTTGATGTTTCTAGCTTAAAACATCTGCCAATGTCATTTTCTTGCTTGAAGAATTAAAAAAGAAAAAGAAAAGAAAAGGAAACCGCATGTAATTGAACATCTTTTGCTTTCCTGTGGTTTGCAGCGGAGAATGCTTGAGGTGATGAGTTTCTGGAATTGCATTTCGCCGGCGAAGGACTATCATTAATCTTTCTGTTTTCAAGAACACAATAAAACACATAAATAGAAGAAGCAATGCCCAGTTGTGATGTTTTTCTACTCTTCTTTGGCGGATGTAACAATTTTCAAAGTAGATTTTATTCTTATCTCTTCTGCAACTTATTTGGACTAACCTGAATCAAGTGATTATTATAGAATAATATTCATAAACATATGAATCATATTATAAAAGAGAACAATAAGAATAATAATATCATAAATTATAAGTCAAACAATCATTATTTAGCATCGTATAAGAACAAATACATATATAGAAATTTAATATATCATGTTATTCTTTATGAAAAATCACTTCATAATTCTTCAAATTATCATTTATGAAAAATATATAATTCTTCAATTATATGCTTTTATGAAAATATTTATATAATAATGAATTCATTTTTTTTTCTTTGAGAATGGACATAAATTTCAATGCAAATAATTATCAACTCTAAAAGCAAGTGATCTTATGAAATTATTCAAGGACAAAGTTATATTGTCTTAGGAACTATTATCTTTTATTATTAAAAAAGTATATGAATAAATTTTAAATTAGAATTTATAATTTTAATTTATTTTGATAATACTCATTTCATTTTTTATAATTAATTATATTTTATCTCTTTATTTTTTTATAATTAATTACATTTCCCCTTAAATTGAAGTGGGTGGGATCCGAAGCACATGGAAGGAAGCGGATGGATCAAAGCTTGAAAATGTTGGAGAACTTTTCTACTGTTTCAAACGGCATTGTCGTCTGCTTGGTAATAAAATAAAATTAATAATTAAAACATTCCTATGATTTACAGGAAGTTCTGACATACGATAGTCTTAATATATGACTAAGTAAATGTATTATCATAAATATTATTAATTTTTACTATTTTTGGTAAAAAATAATATTTTAGGTTGCACTTTACCATTATGTTAACAAATTTGGTAAAACGCCAATAATATCATTTCCGGTAGAAAAAAAATAATGTTTTAGGTGATTTTTTACCGAAAATGTTAAGAAAATAATAATATTTTCGGTAGCGCTTTTCCTTAATCGTATATTAGGTTGCCGCACATAAGACTCCCATTACATCTATGCCTTCCAATGTTTTCATCCTCACCCTGTAACATCTCAAACTACGAGTTAATGATTAAATTGTAAAATTTCAGAATTTGGTGATTAAAGTGGAAAAGTTGAATAGTTCAATAAATTATTTAAGAATATTTCCTAAAAGTTGTTAGTAATTATCAAAAGAATTAAAGGGCAAAATGGTCATTTGACAAGAAAGATATTTTTTTCCTATTATATGAATGAATCATGTGGGGGGAAGAGTTATCTTCTTCTTCTTCTTGCTTTTTTCATCTCCACCGTGGACTTCAAGAGCAAAGGTAAGATTTCTTCTTAGTTTTTTATTATTACCTGAATTTTAAGTTGGGTTTTGATCATTAGATGATAACTAAGCTTAAGGAAAGCTTAAGCTTAAGTCATCTTAAAATCAAAAGATGAAGAAGTTATGAAAGATTAAAGAAAATGAGTTTTTAAGTGAATTTTTGGAAAAGAGATGATAAGTTGAATTTGAAACTAAATTTGACTTGTCATCAACTTAATTAAGAGATATGAAGTGATAAAATTGGATTTAGAACATCTTGAAAATTTGGTATGATTATTGATTTCCATATGAAAGATGTAATTTTGAGATTTAAGATGAGATAAATGGATATAAATGAGTTTAAGCATGTGTATGTGAGTTAAGGATATGAAAGAGGTTGAAATATGGCATAATTAAATTAGAAGGAAGTATGTTGAGTTAATCGATCGACGGAATCAGCCAAGAGGGAGGTGAATTGGCAATTAAAAATTTCGGTGGAAGCTTTTGCAGAAAATTGAAAAGATTTGCACAGTGATTTAGAGTGGTTCGACTTTCTCAATCAAAGTCTACGTCCACTACCTTAGCTATCCACACTAAGGATTTTCCACAAATTCACTAATTTGTCTTTCTTTTGAGGACAAAGAGTAATCTTACAAACCCTCAAGAATTATACCCCAAATTCTTGAGAAAAACTCTCTCCCAAAGAGAACAATACAAATTTGCGAACTTACAAGGAAATCCTCATAAGGTAGATTGTTTGCACAATTCTAGAACAAAGAAAAGAACACTCAAGAATAAATACAATTGAGCACAAAAGTGTTCTTGAAAGCAAAATGAATATTGAATGAAAAATAGGCTTGAAATGCTCAAACTTGAGGTTTGATGCTTTCTCTTTGATTCTCTCTTGATTCTAGTTGCTTGATGTTTCTTGCTGTTGATCAATGGCTTCTAAACTTGTTTAAATACTCCTTGAATTAATTCTGAACATTGGTGATAATTAGTGGAGTCAATAGAGCCGTTATTGTGTGAAAACAATTAATTTTCTGGGTGGGAGCGTCTCATGCATCGATGTATGACCATTATGCATCGGTGCATCAGTGTAAAATTTCAAATATTTTGACCGTTGGACTCCTAGTGCATCGGTGCACTAAGAGTGCATCGATGCATGAAGTGCATTCGATGTTTGAAAAATAGCCTGGTGCATCGATGCATGGATTGTGCATCGATGCATCAAATGCATTCGATGTTTTAATTAAATCAGAGTGCATCGATGCATGGAGAGTGCATCGGTGCATGGAATGCATTCGATGTTTCAATTTATTCATTGACGCATCGATGCATGATATTGATGCATCGGTGCATGCCTTTGAAAAATTGATTTAAGGCTTGATTTTGGTTCAAAATACTTTGTGAAAATTGTTTCAAAAATAGTTTAAGTACAAATCACAATTTTACACATTTAATAAGGATTAAAATTGATCTTCAAAGACTTGGAGTAATAATTTGATATTCGATAAATTGAATCGAATATAAATTGTAAAATCATTTGTAAAAATCTTAAAATTCATTTAACTTAATTTTTTATATCGAAATATCAAAAATGTTTTTAACAAAGTAATTTACATGAATAAATGAGAATTCTAAACTAGTGTGCATCGGTACACATTCAACATGTACCGATGCATCAAGGGTAAATTTCCAGAAATTATTCAGTGTGCATCGATGCACACAGGTAGGCATCGATGCATGGGAATTTCGAAGCCATTTGGTGTACCGATGCACCCATAGTGCATCGATACACCCCTGAAGGAAAATGGAATTTTGGTTCATTAAACTAGCTTGAGTTATTAACATCAAGCTATAAGGTTAGGCTTTTGATAATCATATCGAAATTTATGTTTATGTAGATATTGAGCATAAACAAGTCCCGGAACAATCAAAGAATTAGGATTGAATCAAAGCAAGGCTAAGGTGAGTGCAATTTAATTTGTGCTTATGTTATAGAACGAATATTTGCTTGCGATGAGCCAGAGACAGATTTACTATGGTAAGAAGTAAATTCTAAAATGTTAGGTGATTTATATGTGTTAACAGGTTATTATGTATGTTACATGATTTGCATAAGTATATATTAGTATGATAAGTCATATGAAACAACATAAATAATCTATAAGATTATATAGGAATATGAAATATGTTATAGAAATTACATGATGACATGTTTGTTCCTTGGTGTTGTGATATATGTGTTATTTGATATGAATATGGTAAGTAAAAGGGGTTAATGGGGATGATAAGAATAATAAGGATAATGAAATGACATGTATATGGGAATATATGTATATTCGATCCAAGTTATTTGAATATATGAGAATACATGCCTATGTGATGAGCTATCTGATGTATATACGAACATATGTGAATAGGATATGACAAACGTACATGGATAAATGAGAAATGATATATATTATATTATATGGACCTATGTGACTACGTGAGAAAGAATATATGTCTATGAGAAGGCATAAGAACAAAGTATAAGATATGTGATATATGAACATGAATCATATGAAAATGTTCTGCGTGTAAGTGAACTATGTGATGATATAATGTGTGATAAATATGAAAAATAATGCCCATGTTATGTGTCATGAGATCTAGAGGTATAGTTGGCATGCCAAGAGTCGAGGGTCTACGCGGTCATTCGGGACAATTCTACGTGGTCCTTCGGGACATATATGTATTTTTTGGAACATGTATGAGGTCTTTTGAGACACCTACTTGATACTTGGTATATGTATATGATTCTTAAGGAATTTCTATGTGGTCCTTATGGACAATCTTATATGGCACCACGGTGCAATTCTACGTGGCACTTCGGTGCATTTCTACGTGGTCCTTTAGGACAAATATTCAGTGCCCCTAGTGGGAATTTATACGAGCTGTGGTCACATTTATATGATGTATACGTTTTGGTGATATGAAATATGTTACATGAATTAAATAATGTTATGTGTGTTATATGATATACGGAAATGATAAGTAAAAAATCATATGATAAATAGATATTATGACGATGATGGTATATGTATATGTGTATGTGTATGTGTATGTGTATGTGTATGTGTATGTGTATGTGTATGTGTATGTGTATGTGTATGTGTATGTGTATGTGTATGTGTATGTGTATGTGTATGTGTATGTGTATGTGTATGTGTATGTGTATGTGTATGTGTATGTGTATGTGTATGTGTATGTGTATGTGTATGTGTATGTGTATGTGTATGTGTATGTGTATGTGTATGTGTATGTGTATGTGTATGTGTATGTGTATGTGTATGTGTATGTGTATGTGTATGTGTATGTGTATGTGTATGTGTATGTGTATGTGTATGTGTATGTGTATGTGTATGTGTATGTGTATGTGTATGTGTATGTGTATGTGTATGTGTATGTGTATGTGTATGTGTATGTGTATGTGTATGTGTATGTGTATGTGTATGTGTATGTGTATGTGTATGTGTATGTGTATGTGTATGTGTATGTGTATGTGTATGTGTATGTGTATGTGTATGTGTATGTGTATGTG